CAGTGGCATGATCTCGGCTCACTACAACCTCCGCCTCCTGGGTTCAAGGATATCTCATGCTTCAGTCTCCCGAGTAGCTGGTAATACAGGTGCTCACCATCATGCCTGGCTATAGAATGTATCTGTTTTGTGTTAAAGAACTATACCTTGAACATAAGGCAGATCCAAGAGGCATATGGGGAACAGGTCAGGACTGATAACGGTCTCAGTGGGATCCACATGAACAGGAAGTCAGGTAGGTCCCTGCAGCTTGGGCAGGGCAAAGGAAAGTGGGTAGGCAGTATAGGAAATAGCAGATCAGTGTCTATCTCGGCTTGAAAAATTAATGCTATTGACACATCAATTTCTTAATTGAAGTTTATTGTTTCTATTAAAGAACATCTTGCACCTTAAAAATGGTTGTGGGTTTTTTTTTGTTTTTTTTTGTTTTTTTTTTGAGATAGGGTCTTGCTCTGTCACCCAGGCTAGAGTGCAGTGGCGCGATCTTGGCTCACTACAACCTCTACCTCCTGGCTTTGAGCAATTTTCCTGCCTCAGCCTCCCTAGTAGCTGGGATTACAGGCGCATGCCACCATGCCGAGCTAATTTTTGTATTTTTGCTAGAGATGGGGTTTTACCACGTTATCCAGGCTGGTTTCGAACTCCTGACCTCAGGTTATCTGCCTGCCTTAGCCTCCCAAAGTGCTAGGACTACAGATGTGAGCCACCGTGCCTAGCCAAAAAAAAAAAAAAAAAAAAAAAAAAAAAATGCCTTTATTAAGTGTGGCATTGTGAGAACTTGTGATTTCCTCAACGTGTTTTTGTTGGTATAATGGAATTTGATGGATCTTGGGGCTTACTCACCTGGCATTGCACCCTCCAGTATTCCCAAAGGGTAGCCATAGACAATTTATTTAACCTCACTGAGCTTTGCTTTTTTCTTCTGAAACTACATAGCGATAACTATATCTAATTTCAGGCCACTGCTGTGAAAATAACATAAAAATTGAAATTATATAACATAGTGCCTAACAATCTTGATGCATAACGAATATTCATTTTCTGACTTGCTTTTGATATAAAAATCTTTTCTGAAGATATTTAAGTGACCTCAATGTCAAATTGAGAATGACAGAGGCCAAAACAGATTTTTGATCCTCAGAGGACAATGGATAATAGGTGCTATATAAGCACACAATTTTTCTTATTACACTAATGACTTTTCATATATACGCGGCAGTAAGTGATAATGTATAACTGGCTTTTATTTACGCTGGCTTTTATTTACACATTGTACACAATCAAATTTGATTGAATTTGAACAAGTAGAAGTGATTTATTTTGGAATTTTTTTGGACCCCTTTTATTTTTTTCCAAGACAGGGTCTTAATCTGTCACCGAGGCTGGAGTGCAGTGGGGCAATCGTAGCTTATTATAACCTTGAATTCCTGGGTTCAAGTGATCCTCCGGCTTCACTCTCCCAAGTAGCTGAGACTACAGGTACATGCCAGCATGCTCGGTTAATGTATTTTCATTTTTTAGAGACCGGGTCTCATTATGTTGCCCAGACTGGTCTCCAACTCTTGACCTCATGCAATCCTCCCACCTCATCCTCCCAAATGCTGAGATTATAAGCATGATCCACCATGCCCCACTGACCTCGTTTTTAGAGATATCTTCACTGTTTCTAATTGGATATTTCACAAGAATGTATTTGCTCATTTTGAACATTCAACAGGTTTATCTTTTGTTATTTTAAGGTGTACTCCAGGTGTCCTTTAATGTTGCTGTTTGCAGTTATTTCAAGTCATCAAACCATGGCTATCAAGGTGCCATGTTGTAGTCCATTCATGGCCCATGTTCAAATGGGGTTCCAGCAGTGCATCTTCAGCACTGGTACGCTTGGTGCATCCCAGCAATCACGTTTTGCTTTTTAACATAAATAATGACGACTGTCAGGGGATGCTAAAAGAAACAACTCAAGAACCTCAATGGGTATGTGTGGCTGGCCCAAGGTTTAGAGCCAAGTAGAAGACAAAATAACCATAGTCACTAGACTTTCAGTTTAACCGGAAGAATAAATATCTTAGAAGTGTCATAAAGGTACAGTGCATATTCAATACAATGTAAAATGGTAAGAAAACTAACAGACTTAACACAAACCAGCACAGGATTCAGTGCCAAGTATTTGATGAAGACAGTATGGTCCATGTTAGAAAGTAAGAAGGTGTTAGAAGTGATCGCCTAGCCAGGTGATCACTGTGGATAGTGGAGCTGAGAACAGAAGGTGGGTTCCCCTAAACGCTGAAAGTGGGGACGCGGCTAGATAAAGAAGATGTGGCAAAGTCATAATGCTAACAGGAGACTATCCATATTATCTAATTGGAAAAGCCTTAATGATTCTCCTAGTTAGCGGAGTAGTCATGTAATGCATATTCTTGATGCACCGTGATTATTGGTTTTATGCCTTGCCTTTAGTATTATAAAAATCTTTTACGAGACATGACTTCGAGTGCAAGGAAGAGGATGGAAATACTTGACTCTCGCTGGAAAACATGAGAAAGTTCATTTTGCTCTTGTCTACCCCCATCTGCTCTGCAGAAAAGTAAATGCCCTTGGTACTGCCACAAAGCTTCCTCAAAGGAATCTGTGAAAGGGAGGGAAAAACTCTGCAGATGCCCCAGAGCTTCAGATGGCCTGCAGCCCCTTTTTGGCAACACTCCCTGAAGATGGCCACCTACGAAACTCGTCTTAGAAAAAATGACTTGCTTCCCTCCCACAGTGTAAGCTTACTTGCAGGTATTTCCTCCACATATCTTGCTTAGCAATGACCCCATTTCACTAACAAACTTTCCAATAATCCTGTTGTTACCACTCACTTCACAGCTGAAATAACTGGGCCACAGAGAAACACGTGCCTAAAATTGCATGGATCAGCAGAAGCAGGAACAACTATAAAATTCCCAATCCACTGAACAAGAATCTCCCCAGAGTATAGGGAGAATGTTGGGATAACCTCCCAGTTCTATTAGCCCTTGCTTTTTGACTAGCTTTCTGGGCACACTGATGTACAGAGAAATATGGCTTCCATTGTATACATACAAACATACATACATACATATAGAATGGTACAGGGAGTAGTTTTCTTTGTGATAAACAAAAATAGCCATGCTTACATCAATGCAAAATAGCTATGCACCTTTTTTTTTAAAATCCTTTGGATTTGCCCTTGGAAACGGTCATGTATTAACAGCAACTGGATGATTTGTTTTAATGGACTGGCACAGACAGTCTTACATTTGACTCACTGGAACAGACAGTATTTTCTTTGGTAGGGAACCAAACAGAAAACCATGGTTGGTTTTTGAGACACGGGAGCTCTATTTTGAGAAGGAATCAGACATCAAGGGACATAACCAGCGTTCTCAGACAAACCTAAGTCAGGTAAGCCTCTCTTCAAATCCCAATTTCAACCCAAGATAAACTTCTCTAAGATGTAAGTCAGTATAAAATGTATGAGGTAGCTCTTCCTTCCAGTGTCCCTCATACTTGATGAAGCAAAAGGAAGAAGACAGTGAGTGCTTAGTTGCCTCTTAGAGGATATTCATAAAAATCAGAAGAATGGCATGTGACACTTAGGGGAAAAGTTAAGAAAATTAAGATTCTTACATCAGAAAAAATAACCCCTGGGGTGAATTAACCTTCACGTATGTAAAGAGTAAACAGCTGCAAAATGCCATCTGACTTACTATAATAGGGGCAAAACACAAATTACTACATCTGAATTGCTGTCACTACAGCAGTATTACACAATGTGGGAAGTATAACCAGATGTCAAATCAGGCCTCATCATATCTTGCTCTCAACTAAGGTGCCAATATCTCATAGTTAGGGGAGTAGTCATGTGCCTCTTCCTTCCAGTGTCCCCCGTACTTGATGAAGCAAAAGGAAGAAGACAGTGAATGCTTAGCTGCCGCTTAGAGGACATTCATAAAAATCAGATGTCAAATATCATAAAGAATGAAACAGATCTTTAAATGCGGAGTTACAAAAGGCTTTGTTCCATAACTCCTGAAGCCTCTCACTTACAAAAGAATGGACAGAGGAGACAGGAAGCAATGGTAAAGAGATTCTTCTGCAGACGACAGTGCTATGGTTGAGTCTGCCCATTCAGAAAGCGGTGGGGTGGAGGAGAAAGCATTTTCTGTCACCTCAAGCGCAGGCTGGACCATGTGAAGATCTAGAAATGGGTTTCCCTCAGTTGGAGGATGCAGAGGACTGGTTCCTGACTCAGCCCTGAAAAAGCTGAAGCAGCCCGTGAAAGCAGGTTCAAAGTGACACCAGGATTTATCTTCGCTCTCTAGCAAAGGGTATGTAACCTATCCCCATGGACCAGACAGGAGCTAGAGGGGCTTGCCACTGTGTCCCGTATACCAGAGTGGAATGCAGAAGGGCCCATGGATCACAATGCTGGAGATTAAATCCATAAACTACATCCTGACTTCTATTTGATTATGAAGAGCCAAAGGGAAGGCATTCTGGCTCTAAAAACAAAAACAAAATTGGAAGATTTAAGTAAGACTAAGAAAAAGAGGAAGGAAATAACTCCCTTGCTTTTAGATTTGCTCAGAACAAAGCAAGATGAAGAAAAATCAGTTATAAACTTTAAAGTAAGGTGTCATGCTACTGATACAAAGAGAAATAAAGAGTTTTGAGGCAAAACCAGCTGTCAGACAGGTAGCAAATATGATACAGCTCTTGAGAAAGGAGAATGCTCCTGGAACAGATGGGCACACCTCTGAGCTTTATAAAGCATTAACTAGCTGTTTAAATAAGTCCTTAGCAGATGTTGTCAATGCAATTTTGGAGGTGAAATGGAAAAAAAAAAAACAAAGTCCAAAGCACAAGGGGAATTGATACCACAAATAAGAGACACTCTTGAATTCAAAGTGCAAGTTATTGTACGAAGTTTTTCTTTAAGACTAGTGCATTACCAAATCTGCACATTACCAGCATCTGTAATTAATGTCATGTATATTGCATATAATGTATATTGTACGTAATTATATTGCATGTAATGTACATTGCAATACTAGCCTTTAAAAGAGAGACACACTTAAAGAAAAAGATAGTTTATGGTGATATGTACGGCTCTTCATCTGAAGTCAAAAAGGCAAGCAAGCATTCATATCCACACTACTATGGGTAATCGTTTTCCTTGTAATCGTACCCAGCTATGAATACATTCATAAGCAAGGAGATAAATCACAAAAGGATAAAGGAAAAGATTCTAGCAGGTCTGTGCTGAATGTATTGATACTCAATACCATGTTAAAAATATATACTTAAAAAACAGAGTTCAGTCCATTGCACACAAAATAAAGGGGACAGTGGGTTTTCTTGTCAGACAGCTCACATACATACATACTCCATTCAATCAGCAAATGTTTATCAAGCACCTCAGGGTACCAGGCAGTGGACCAGGTGACCCAGTAGGGAAGATAAGTAACATCCAAACTCTACCATCCAAGAGCTACTCTTTCGTGCCTGATGCTCTCACTTCTAGTACGTAATGCAAACTGATTTACCCATAAATGCTACTCACACCCACCTATTTGGCCACCAAGCGGTAGGAATGGTGGAGGGCCTGTTCCAGGTGTGGAGCTAGAGAGATGGAGCAGGAAGTGGATATGGAGCCTCAGACTCCACCCAAGAGACAGGCTGGAGTGGGGAAATGTGTCAGACCAGCACTCCACTGGATGGAGCCATATCTAACCACAGTCCACATTAACATCAGCACCATGACTACATGTCATTATTTGGAGTGGGAGGAGAGGAGAATTGGAAGAGGGGAGGGAAGATAGCATCTGTGCCTATAAAATCTAAGCATCTCTATTGAGCAACAACGCAGAACAATTCCAGGATGAAAGACAGCGACGAGTAGGGAAAAGAGAATGGATTAAACCTATTTAAATTGACGCTTTTGACAGAATTCACATTGTTCAAAAGGTCACTATATTAGGAACAGTGGTTTAGAATTTGGGGTTTTGCCACTAAATAACCCCCATAATTAAAACCATGGCTTTGCCACCCACTTCATGAGTAACCCCTAAGGTTCATTTTCCCCATCTGTAAAATGGAGATAAAACAGTACCCACAAAGGATTGCTGTAAGGATTAAATTAGACAATGCACACAAGGGTACATCTGTCACAGTGTGTGGAACTTATCTAAGGATTCAACAAATGTTTTATTATTTTTACTATTATTACCGTTATTAATCCTGCTTACAATGAGGTAACTTTTAAGCTTTACTTTAAAGGCATATCTACCTATTCTTCTGACTTCTCAGGGCATCTTGTTTGCAAGCTACTGCAGAGTTTATCACCAATGCATTCAACAAATAGTTATTGAGTATCTACTATACTGCAGATACTGTGCTGGGAATATACCAGCGGGCAGGACAGGTCTGATTCCTGATGTCATTGACCTCAGGGTCTGGAAGAGAAATTATCCAGAAATGTGATGTTACTGACAACGTTCCTGGCATCAGAGAATGTCAAAAGACTCTTTCCAAGACACACACATGGGTCAAATAACTTTTACAGGATGAATAAGAAAATCTCCCCTGTAAGAATTCTAGAAGGAAGAAAAACAGAGACCTGAAAAACTCGGGCCTGACAGAAGATGAGGCATTTATCTGATGAAAGATCTCTGGATTAGTTTAATTCTGCTGCCCACATGCCCTGCTATTCCACACTCAATTTCTCTGATGCGTTCTCTCCTCTTGACCTTCCCTGTCACTATTCTAGTTCCTCATCCCTCACAGGTACTACTGCTAATGACTCCTTACTGTGCTTCTGACATCTGGGCTCAGACCCCTCTCATCATTCCTCCAACCTTCCCTTCTTTCACAGCATTTCCAATCATCTCATTCTGCTCAAAACTCTGCAACACCTCCCACTGCCCACAGGATACAATTCAACAGCTTTACAAAGCAAACAAAGCTGTTCACAAACCAGACGCTTATTATGTCTCAGGTCTTGCCATTTCTTCTGCCAACATTTTTATCCTGTTTTGACTACTTAAGGTTTTCGAAAGTACAATTCTGTCTCTCTTCTCTCTCTTTTTTCCACATTCCCTCTGCCCAAAATGCCCTGGCTTCCTTTGTAGGGCTCCTCCAGTATTATTTCTGCTCTTTAGACCTTGATTTTAGGAATCCTAATATTGTGTCATATTATTTGTGTGTTTGTTTGCTTTTGTGTCCATCTCTCCACTGGACTGTAAGCTTCTTGAGAGCGAGTCTGATCTCTTTCATTTGGGGGTCTTTACATCTGTGATATTGTATAAGCCAAAACAGATGCCTCATGAGCCAGCAGCTATATTTTACAAAGCTTTTTTTCACATGCATTATCTTATTTGATATGCATAGAAATTGTGCTTTTCAGAAAGTAGGTGTGACTGGTAGAACAGGTTTTAGCCTTTTGTACATTGTCAAATGATAAAACCAAAACTAAGAAATATTTGGAAGTGGCAGTCTAGGGTTACGTAAAGAAAGATAGCATAAGTTTTTCCTCAAACTCTTGTACTATCTTCACATTCTCTCTTCTACTAGACTATGTGACCTCTGAGTATAGGATTAAAAGGAAAAGAACCTGAAAAATAAACGTAAATCCTATAGCAAGAAAGCAGAAGGGCTTTTCAGATGCAACACAATAAATGAATCTATTTCATGACTCCCTTGCTGTTAGTCACTCCTCAAAAAATCTACTCCCACTAAAGAATTCTCTGAATTATCTCCTAACTTCAAACCAAACAAAAAATGTTTCATAATTTATGATCTACTTATTTGTTTTTTGCTCTTTACAGCCCTTAGCTTCCAATTTCCGACATGTTATCAAGTATTACATTTAATTGTATAACAAACTTACACCCCAGGTAGGATGTTGCCTATAGACTCATGCTGGGTGATGCCTGGGTGATCCAAACAGGGAAACGATATTCCTTTAAGCCACATTAGCTCTCAACGGTGTCACTGGTCAGGCGTAGAGAGGCAAATTCACGAGCAGCATTGGGGAGTTAACGAACGGCTGGCCAGATGGTGCCTGTCAGAAGGTGTTGACTTTTTAGACAACTGGGACTGCTTCCTGGGAGTAAATGAGAGGTACGGCAGGGACGGATTGCATCTCAATCACACAGAAACAGACAGATTCACTGCTAATGAAAATAAGCATATAGCCAGGCATATTTTCCCTCTTTTTATTTTATTTGTTTGTTGTGCCTGGTAGATATGCAGGAGGGTCTGGCTGAAACTGTAACATCGTATTAAACGATGCAATGGAGTAAACACGAAAAGCTACCTATAAACTGTCTATCAGTATTCTTAATTACAAACTATCACTAGGACAAGGAGAAATAATGCAAATGAGTGGTAAACTAATCTGGAATTAATAAGGGTATTTTGATTGCTGTAGCAGGAACTACTTGAAAAGAAATAAAATTTGAAATGCAATAGTGACCTGCAGATGTTACCGAAACATTATTCAAACTGGTGGAGTCCATTAAGGACATTCTGGCACTTTTGATTTTCTAGCATAATACATCTGAAATGAGCCACTTTATACCAATTAGACCATTTTCACTTGCTACTTTACTCAACTGCTGATCTTTTCCTATTACCTGCTTCCTGACATCTTTGGGTGTAAAGCATGATGCTCAATGCTAACATTTCAGAAGATACACTAAGTAGAAAACTTCATTGCCTTTTTTGTTCCTATCAGAGAATACTATCTAAACATTTTTCTGCCTGTTGTGGTTACTCTTAGGCATTGCAGAAAATCAGTTAAATAAATGCCATCACCAAACCATGAATAGGCTGTTTGGTCAGAGAGACAAAATCAGCAGACTGGGCAATACGACTTCTTAGCAGCTATGTGACCTTAGTTAGGCAAGTAGTTTAACCTCTCCTTGCTTTGGCACCCTGGTTAGAGTGAAGATTCTATGAAACGAATGAAAAGAGTCTGACATAGTGGCCCAGCACATAGTCAATTCTCATAATGCTTCTCTTTCCTGACTACAAAGAGTTCTCAGTCCAGTTCATTCATTCATTTCCTTCTTACGTTTCCATCCTGTTTCATTGCACACATTGGGTTTGACTTCAACCTTGTGTCCATCTTATAAAGCCTTCTAGAAATTCAGTGATGTCTTTGGAAATCTGCCTTGTTACCTAGTAAGAGGCAATGACTATACGGCACACAACATTAAGATACTTAATATCTTGCTATCATTTTTTACCACTTGAGTCAACCCCCCAGCAGGGGCCAATGTAATGGATTTTTCTAGTACAATTTCCTCTATGCTTTGAGGATTTCCTGGGGGCAGAGGTTTCTTACAGACAGCATAAACAATGCAATCAGCAGAAACGGATGAAATTCCATATTCCTAGCACTGACCACAATATGGCATTTTTTTCTTTCTTAAATGCGATTTATTTTTATTTGGTTGTGAAACAAGGATCAGATTATACACATATACACATTGCTTAT